TCCTGCCTGGCGGAGTTCGCCTCGCGGCTCGGCTCGCCCTGTTTGCACAGGCGCAGCCCAGGTGCCTTTCTGGTTAAACAGGCCGTGTTTCAGCTGCCTGGGGTGGCACGAACTGTTCTGCCCCGAGGTGGTGGAGGGAAGCTGAGGAGATGTCCCCTCTCCTGTATGGATTTAGGCTGTTTCTCTCTGTCAGGACACCGCAGGTGAGGCGCACACGGGTCTGGCCTCAGCACAGGGCGCCCGTGCCTCTCTGCAGCCCCTCTGGGATCTCTACCGTGATACCGCCGGGGTAAACGCGAGACGGCCTCTAACTGCCAGGAAAACAAATATTTGCCTGGACAGTATTGTCTGCCTCGCTGCAAAGCATGTCTTGAGCAGCCTACATGGAGACTCTGGTTTCTTGCTGAAAAGTGAGTAAGTTACAGGCTGTGTTTTTAAGGTCAACAGGAGTTCAGCTTGGATACCATCCAGTACAAACTGTCTCTGAGAAGTCAAGGTTGCTTGTGATTTCAATCCTAAAATTTCTGTGCTTGTGGGACAAACACTGAATATCTGCACTCCAATAAATAAAATATACAAAATTACCTATTAGGGTAAAGCATATTGTCCTCCAGATATTTTTATCTGCTGTCTTGCCCTTTCCATTTTTGTGAGGATTTCTAATTTTGCTTGTGGTTGGATTTGCGTCCAAATGCCGCTTGGCTTTCCCAGATGCAGCAAGCTGAGAGGGTCTGCCGAGGTGTGGGGGAGAAGTGATACCTCTCAGAGATGAATACCCTCTGTTTTCTGGTATACAAATGTTTAGAGATAAATGATAGACGTGAGCAATTTGTTGTGTAGAGTTATGGGTACGGTAGAGGCTTGAGTTGTCAGGAAAAAGAATTTGCTGTTCTATCTGAGGCACGGTATGCAATGGAGAAAATTTGGCATAGAGGTCAAAACAACAGATTTAGAATGATTACTCTAGCATAAATACCTCATTTATCTTCTTGTTTGTTACCACGCAGACATACAAACAGGGTAGCTTTCTGTGGAGGACAAGAGGGGAAAAATAAATTTTAGGCTGTTTATGCCGTTTTAGTAAAAATATCTGACTTAAGGCTATGAAAGTAAGTTGAAAAAGAACCCTAAAAAAACTTACAGCTTTTCCTAAAAACTCAAGGTATCTGCTTCTTCCTTTTTTTGTTGTTGTTTTGTTTTTCTTTGCAGTTTGCTGGACAAACATTTTTACTTAACAAATGCTTTGTTACACATTAACCTTTTAGGTTGCTGTGAAATCTCAAGTACCCTCATTTATCTGAAAAACAATCAGAGCTCACTTAGTTTATGACATGTCCTCAGAATACGCACAAAAATAAAACCCAACCCCATGTAGCTATTTCCAGATATTGGTATTTATTATTTCACTGGTAAGGAGACATTATAAATTACAAATATTTGTGTAACCCACTGTATTATTTCAGCGTTTTTCTCTGGGGCTCAGCTATGCCGGTGTCTGACCGTGGCAGGTTGCGGCAGGGAAAGACCCTTTCAGCTGTCCGGCCGCTGCTCTTCAGAGGGGACCGTTCTTGTGCTCGAGCCATTGGTCCTTGCAGGAAATCTGAAAGCCAGAAAAGTGCAAGGGAAGTGTTGGAGATGACTGTGAAGGAAATTAATAGGCGAGGAAGGAAGTCGGAGGGAAAGAACTGATTGCAAGGTGGTGTGAAGGAGGCTTAGATGTTCAACTAAAGCAGAAAAGCCGAGACCAGGAGTGGATTTTGACCCCATGTGGCGAGGAAGCGGGAATCCTGCATGTTTGCCATGTTACGGAATTCGACCTTTGGCATGTCCACGTTGCTTCTTTTTTTTTTTTTTTTTCCCTAAAGTTCGGATTAATGTTGATGTCTGTGTAAGAGTAACAGGCTGCAGTGCCGGTGGTAGGGCT